TTTTGACAGTCCAGGCACTCACCAGTTCACCCTCGCTGCCCACGGCGCGCGGCGCGGCGCCGAGGTTTTACTGCGAATATCCAAACTGATAGAGCCCTTTCAATGGAGATGTTGCATGTGTGGGGAATTTGCAATTTGACTGTTGATTCTTATGTAAAAGTTCGCGAAAATTACAATGGTGCCACTGGTTTTCTCTGAAATCGTCTCCCAAGCTCAAAAAAAGCTCTCAAAGTGAGGCCAAAATGGAGGAGATATCCCACCCTACCCTGAGAGTCCACCTCTACATCAAAACAATCTCTCCATGCAAAGATAAGGAGCAAATACATTGACAGGATTGCCACTTTATTTGGGGACTCCAAAATTGAAAACACGGCATCTCTCAGGGGACTCTTTGGACTCTCAGGGTAGGGTGGGACATTCCCTACATTTTGGCCTCACTTTGAGAGCTTTTCTTGAGCTTGGGAGATGATTTCAGAGAATAACAGTGGCACCATCGTGTCTCTCGCGAATTTTTACATAAGAATCAATGGTCAAATCTCAAATCCCTCACACATGCAACACCTCCATTCCTCGTTCATACGACAAAAATATCTCCTAAGCATGAAAAGTTACATACAGGATTACAGGCGTAGGATGTAAGTACCTTTTGTGCCTCAATTTTGACATCGCGATGTGCTGAGCATGATTTGTAGAGCAACTATTCATTTCTATGAGATGCCTTCGAAAAGTGAATGAAGACTTGAATTCTGAATTGGGACTCTGTCATCTTAGATGCTCGAAGTAAAGCCCGCCGAATAATGATACGAGCCCTCCGGAGAGACTGCCCATGAAATTTTCGAGTTTCGACTAAAACTGCAAATTTTCATGTTGATTTCTTCACACTATAAATTACATGAGGTGCTTCATGAAGGAAATTTTCCGAGAGAATCAATGAACCACCTCCTAAAACCTCTACGTTCCGTAATAATATCGATACGAGCTCTTAATATTTTTACATTATTTTGTATGCCTCCTCTCATTGACTCACTTCACTGAGCGCCGCTGTGGCTGTTGAGGCGGCTAGTGTCTCCATGCAAAACGCCTTCAATTCCGTGCGTATGCAACGCGGACATCCTGGGAGCCCGAATAGTTGCATCCAGACGTTGCACTGAAATGGTCGTATTTCTAGCAAACGGAACTATGTGCATTATGACGTGAGCCCTGTTATGGATGTATTCTTATGGGTCTCAGGGCTCATGTCTTAATGCACATAGTTCCGTTTGATAGAAATGCGTCCAAATTCATCTAGTATCCGTCGCACGCGACACTACCTAAAGCTTTGATTGCTCCTTTTACATAATACGTTAACTCAATTCTAGGGAGGCCTAGGGTGCCGATGAAGTTAACCATTTCTAATTGAATCGGTTTCTGTGAAACGAGCGTAAGTTCAAAAACTCATGAGTCCTAGAGTCCTACGTGATCAACGAAAGCTAGGGCTCGCGAGTTTTTTGACTTGCACCCGTCCAACAGGAACCCATTAATTTTTATCGCGACATTGTCAATTTTCCGAGGAATGCATTATTTTAACGTATCACAACGTTACCGGCCCTCGAAATTGCAAAAAAGTAAGTACTTGAGCAGAAAAGAACCAAACCATATCAGCTATTACCTTTTAACGGATGTGCGGATTTTTGTGCGAACAGTGAATTTTCTACATAGCACGAAGCTACTTCCTTAACATTTTCAAAGGGGTCCGCACAAACGTCCTCTTGTGAAAAAATCGATTACCCAGTTACATTTGACAATGGCTGATGTGGCTCGGTTCCTTTCTGCTGAGCGCGGTTCAAATACACGCACATGATTACCTAGGTGCAATTGCGAAACGATAGCGCAATAAGTCAGGTAAATATATCAGTGAAAATTATCCCTGGTAAAAATTGGCGATAACAGCTGCGTTTCAAAATACCATAGGAATTCTTATAGCTGGCTAAAGAAGGCTACAGAAAATCATATAGCTGGCTGTAGAGTGCGGAGAAAATCATACGGCCGGGCTATACGAAGCGATAAAAAATTATGCAGCGGGGCCATAGTTCCTATAGCCGGGCTTTACACTTTATCGCCTGGCTGTTGCTTTTTCGCCATCGATTATAAAAGGCTAAAAGAAATTGTGTAGAAATTCGTGTGCTTTGGAAATCATTAAGTTTGATACGGAACCATCTTAATTTACAAAACACACGTTATATTTTCCTTTAATACATATTTTTTTTCATCAATTAAAACGAGAATAATCCATACAGGATGTGCAAACATTTCAAAATAATGAGTTGAATAATGCTGACTCCGCGAGATTAAATATTAGAGCGTAACACAAAGCGGAGCGGCGACGCAATGACGCCTACAAACCTAACAGGGATACTTGAATAATATTATTACATGACGGTTCTATCTATTCTATCTATCTACGGTTCTATCTATTCTAATATTTACAAAACACACGTTATATTTTCCTTTAATACATATTTTTTTTCATCAATTAAAACGAGAATAATCCATACAGGATGTGCAAACATTTCAAAATCATGGGTTGAATATCGCTGACTCCGCGAGATTAAATATTAGAGCCTAACACAAAGCGGAGCGGCGACGCACTGGCGCCACGCATTGCGCAATGCGTGAAGTATCCCTGTTGGGTTTGTAGGCGCCAATGCGCGTTTCGCGCTGGCTGCCCGCCTGCCGCACCGCAGCGTGCCACGGCGCTTGAAGCAACTATTTCACACCAGAGGAATTGCACAGTATCATACGAAACTGAAGGCGCTCTAATATATAAGGAATGGCAAGCATCCATCAAAAGTACGGAGCTTTCCTCGCAAAATAAATCAAGATACTACGGCCCAAAAAGAGAGCAGTGGTCCATAAACTCACTAAGTCCTAGCATCCCTAATTAGTGACGTTTAGCATACACTTTATCGCCTGGCTTTGATTTGCTTAATCGCCATCGGCTATAAATGGCTATAAGAAATTGTGTAGCCGGCTATAGAAGCTATTGGAAATCTTACAGACGGTCACAGGTCTATGGTATTTTGGAACACAGATTCTACTGCCAATTTTTACCAGGGATATTATGTTCTACTCTTGCTCTATTGAAATGTGGGCTGTTTGTTTCACCTTCTTGTTGATTAAATGCTGTGAGGTCAAACTATAGAAATAAAAAAAAATTAATTTATAGCTTCCAAACTGCTCATGGAGAAATATTTGTAGAAATCGGGCAGAGTCATGTGACCAACGCTGTACTTGGCTGCTTTGAGAATCATGACCGTTGCTGATTCATTCAATCGCGTGACAGACATATTTTATTTGCGAAATATTTTGGATGTGAACTTCTCCTACCTGCCTCGTCTGCCTCAGAAGCAGCTCAAAATACGACGGGCTGTGGTTGTTAAAGCGTGAAGCTGAAGCAGGCACCAGTTGATTATTACGCTGTTGTCAGACGAAGAGAGACCCTCCCCCTCCCCTTCAAAAAAACCCTCCTTTTCTTTTGAAGGTGGCCGATTGGCTGATATAAATCCCAGTGTCAAGTATTGATTTTTGCAAGTCTTTACCTCTCATTATGGAAAAAAACCCACGTGAACCAAAATGAGTAAATCATCGAATACGTCCGACAAGCACCATTGCGGGAAATATGCTCGATAATATTTAAGAGATCGAAAGTGGTCAAGACGGTTTGAGCCATGTTGCCAGGTTATGAAAAAGTAAACAGATTCAGTGGGTTATTCAGAGCAGAAAAAGTGCTAACAGGGCGCATGTAAACGTAACGTTACGAGTTTAAGTGAATTTTTTTCGCGTTTCTGTAGAAATTTTGGGCGGTTGTCTTTAGAATTTTTGAGGAATTTCGAACATATTCTCTGCAATACTTTCACGGTTCCTCGCCAAATAGAATCGCCAATCTGATCAGTCTATGGATTGCATTTTGCAAAATGGAACCAGGAACATTGCAATGTTGCAAAGATTGTGCAATTTTTTTTTTATCTCGGGAGAAAAACCTGATTATCCACTGACAGCTACTATCTCACTCGCTAAAAACCGTAAATCTAAGACAAAAATTACCATGTAAATTTCATATTTTTTCATGATTCCAGTAATTTTATTGCAAAGGATGAAAATTCACAATCTTAGCATCAATTCAATGCTTTTGGTTCCTTTTCGCAAAATGCAATCCATATGATAGTGATATCTAGATTATTTTTTATCGAAATGGGGGCTCCGGGAAGCGGTACGTAATTTTTTCGGGAAGGTCTAGCACAGCGTCACGGAGCGTTACAGGGGTTGTCAAATAACCGGAAATTTAGAGTTTCGTGATTTAGGGACGGCCCCGTAGCGTTCCCTATCGAGCCTGAACGCCTTTAAATTCGATTAGGTGCAATTTAAAGAACATCCTTGGGCAGAGATAAAAAACATCACGAACCTTGGAACGCGTCATACTTCATTTTGCACCTCTGCTCTTATTAGATAACGGAGAGCGAAGTGCGGCACTCCTCCCGCAATCTCAGCTCCACCGAGTTGACAACGCTGATCGGCAACTAGGAAAACGAGAAGGCTCCACTGCCGTGCTACGGAAGAACATTCGAGGGTTGCCAAATTTCCTTGGATAAAATGTTTATTTTCGAGGGAAACTATGAATATTTCCCCTTGAAATTTTCAGGACTTTACGATGGAATTGCCGGCAAAATTATCTGAAAAATTGGAGGAAAAATATTCATAAATCAACCAGAAAATTCGCGTTTTATGGAAGGAAATTTGGCAACGCCTGAAGGTTAATACGGCGTTTTTCCTGAGCACGGCGCGGCGGTCCAATTATTGGGCGCGAGGCGGTCAGATGAAAAACCGTAGCGCGCGGCCCGGCCGGAGGTGACAAAAAATTCACATGGAATTGCTTTCTTTTTTCCCACGAGGAGAGTTCGCGGGAGTCGCGGGGTGGAGCTGCGAAAACGGACTTCCGTCCGCTGGCGTCATTTCTCTGTGTTCCGCTCGCGAAGACGTGCCCGGCCTCGGTTTCCCGCAGCCTCGTCCCTTCGCTTCACACCCAAAGACGCAAGTGCCAGACATGCGCCTCAATTCCTACCTCAAGGTAAGCCAATGCTCTTATCTTTATGCTGATTCGTCAAGCTCATAAGAAGTGGTCGAACTGGCATGCGATATCGCATCGATTAGGTCAAAAATCTCAGCAGATTTTGAATTTTTAGCAAAACAAAGGACACCCCTGCCCCCCCCCCCCCCNTGCGCCCTTGCACATGATCCTAAAGGTTCTTTCTAAACCCAAAAATTGGCAAAATTCAGAGAAATGAAAGCAGAATATAGTGTTTAGAAAAAACCTCGCATTCGGCTCAGCTATCGATTTCTGTATCGAATGCTAGGTTTTTTTCCGAACACTACTCTGCTTTCAATTCTCGGACTTTTGCTGATTTTTGGGTTTAGAATGAACCTCTAGGCTCATGCAGAGTGGCTATCGTCCCTTTTTTTTTGCTAAAAATCCAAAATATGCCGAGATTTTTAACCTAATCGATGCGTTTTATCGCATGTCAGTTCGACCACGTCGCACGGTCACAATCATCAATTTACGTCAATTATAAGCAGCACTATACGATATTACAGTCGTTGTTTCTTGTAATTTAAAAATTTCGTTCAAAAGTCAAAATTTAAAATTGTATGCGGCTTTCGTAATTTTCACGCGACATTTTAAAGAGAATCCGTACGTGTTTCTAGACCACATTTTTGCAATAAGGAGCCACTATTCCTAAAAGCGTCTATCAACATTGAGACCGAACATATGTTATTTTAGAAATTAGCCAAAAATAGCAGTGGGTCTCGTTGCAAAATGGAATACGATTATGTCCTCGTAAACTGACAGTAATGGGATATCGATGCTCTCGGAGACTTGAACGCCCGGTTAGAAAAGTAAGCTATAAACAGAAACACTTGTTTTAGGTCCGTTAAAGTGATGATTTCATCAAAATTTCATCGAGAGCACGATTCTCGCATCGAAAATTACTGAAATCAACTCCTAACTAAGATATAAACATTTTAATTTCACATTGGTTACGGGAAATTTGAATCGCCCGATCACAAGAAACGCAAAACTTTACGAGAGTCCAATCGTGTACTACAGCGGTTTGGACAGGCTTCTCTATCGAGCACTCTTCATTTCCCACCCTGTGTTGTTCAAACCATAGACAACTTGCTATAGCTGAGCTAAAGCGCCAAATTTGAGGTTGCCAGATTTTTATATCGCAGAGTTTCTCATGATACCGTTTAGTGCGCGATTTGACTCACGTAGACCATTGCGTTTTCATGAGCGGGAGGTTTGAATTCACGCGACAAGAAACACAAAATATCTTGGTTAGGAGTTCATTTCAGTAATTTTCGACGCGCAAATCGTGTTTTACGCGAGATTCTGGCTGAGAAACTTGTATCAGAATGCTTAACTTCGTACCGTGTCTAGTGCTCAATGGAGACTTTGCATACGCAAATTTTTTATTGCTTCATCTGAAAGTATACTTAAGGAGCTGATTTCACAGTAGGTATTTTTTATAATTTTTTCCAGATATGGAAAATAGTACAAAAATATATTTAAAAATGAGAAAATGCATCGCCTAGTGACGTCATTTCCCATTTAAACACACGTATTTTAACAGATTAGATAATTTTGTCATATCTTCTCCAATAATTGTTCAATTCATGAACCAAGGGTATCCTCGTGTTCAGTTCACTCAGTAGTTTCCACTTAAACACGAAATTCATCCAGACACATGCAACACGGTGGCATGAAACGTACCTAAAAAAGAAATGAAAGATTGGAAATTGCAGTGAAATATTTCATGAAATTTCACGAGGCTGTGAAATATTTCATATTTCTCAGGGGCGAGAGTAGGTATGCAACCCGCACTGAATCACACAAAAATAGCAAAAAAGGTCACGATTTTTACGTCATGCGAACATGAAAAGGAACCGGTATTTTTCGATATCTTTCATAAATTTCTGAAATTTCATGAAATATTTCAGGTGAAATTTCAAGATTTTGTTTTCCATGAAATTTTGCCACCCTGACCTGGAAATTCTCTATTCCTAGAATTGAAATCCCTGTGTTTTGCAGGTTTGGAGCTTGGTTCTTCTGGTTCTAGCAATTAACATCGGAGCAGTGCGACGTCGCGTGGAGGTGCAGATGAGCGGTCCTCAGATCGAGGGACTGGGGATGCAGTACGCCATGAACCCGACGCTGTCCGCGTTGGTTGTCGGGAGTTTGCTGAGCGAGCACCCGGCCCTGGCGGCAGGATTGATGGGCATGTACCAGACCCAGGCGCCAAACATTAGACTTCCTGTCCCTGGTCCTCCCCAATCCCCGATTTTGCCCGGGAAAACTTACGCACCAGCTTACAGCTCCAACGCGGTTCCAGTCCCCAAATATGTACCTCCAAATTTCAAACCCTACTATACCGGTCCTCCCGTGGCATTCGATGTCGAGGAAAGGCCCAGGCGATGATTCTGAGTTCATAAATGGACGTATTTATGTCAAACAGAACTATGTGCAGGTGAGAAATATGGGGTGTGCTCCAGAAAGCTGGATAAGAAACAATGTGGTGAGTGGGCGTAATTCCTCTTGAAGAATTGGAAAAGCGGGATTTTAAATTGAGCAAAGAGAACTATGTGCCAACTGAATGCGGAATTCATGAGCCGCGGGCATGGCAAGAGAGCGTTGTGGACAGGGCTCATGAGTTAAAGCGACCTGACGACGATCTCCCTCTCGCGCCACAGCTCGATCATTGCTGCTGACGTCACTGGCGCTTTATTATTCTCATTCACTCTTACGGCCAGAGAACTAACAAGCACACCCCATATTTCTCACCTCCGCATAAATCTGTTTGATAGAAATACGTCCAAATAGTGATAAGTAAGCATTTGCTATGGATAGTATTTATTTAAAAAGGTAAATTTTTAATATTTTATTTATTTTTAAAATAAGGGGTACGCCCCCTGACCGCCTCGAGGTTCACCCCTCCAGTGCTTCGCGCCTCAGGCGTTATGCGTTACTCTTAAAATTTTGTAAAACATAGGGTGATCCAATAGTCTCGCACCCTCCCTGTGAACAGGATTGCCGGTGGTCTGGAAAGTCGGATGACCGAGAAAAGTCAGGAAATTTCGGACACATCCACTGAGGATGAAGAAATTATGGCAACCCTGTGATCCCTAAGGTTTACAACTATTTTCAGGGTGATCCCTTAAAAATTTTGGGGGGTTTTCAATAGTTGTTTCTTTTGACCTGGGCTGGGAGCACTCGCAAAAAGTCTCTATTTCAATTTGTTCAGAAGTTTCAGAGGTGATGCCTGGTTCTGGCGTTGTGGGAGTTTTGAATCACCCTGTAGAGTATGATTTGAGTATGACCAAGTAGGAGTCACAACGTAGCAATTGGACATTTTTTAACTTTAGCCATTGCTAAGGATAATGCATACACAAGGAAGAGTACAATTTTTGATTTATTTTTTCACTGTTTTGCAATTATGGAAAAAAAAGTCAATTGTGGTTAGTAAATTTTAATTGGTGACTGGAAAAGGTAAAAACCAGAGTGGAATATTGCACTGCAATGTTGCAAAATTCCACTCGTAGGTTCACTCAATTAATCGAAAGCTGTTGTGAATTTGCTTTAAAATGTTCTAAAGACTTTCTCTGAGATCGGACAAAAACTTTCTACAATAAAAATGCACCTGTTGACAAGTAGACAAAAAGATCAGATGAAACTTCACAACATTGCAATGCCTAGCCTCTGTAGCTCTAGCCTTTTTCATTTCCCTAGCTATCAAATTTTGAAAAAAATTTAAAGGAAAGCAAAAAGCAATTTTTTCTACAACTCAAACACAGATGCTTGCAAAAAATGAACTGCGTTTATGTCCAAATATTTGAAACGTTTCAGATTAGAGATAGTTAAATAAAACTAGTAAACTCATGTGAGAGAGAAAAAACAACCCCCTTCGCATTTAATGTGAAAGAATATTAAAATTTATCCATGGAGATGGAAATTTTACAGGGCTAGAATATTTTTCTGATTTATAAAAGTTTCATAAAGGTCCTCAGGATAGAAATATGTCGATCAAGAACACCAGAAATAATCACATGAAACCTTTATTAAAATAATTATCACACCCGAAAACAACATTGACATAAAATAGTGATATTTTTTTTTAAAAAAAAAGAGAAAGATAAATTCTATACATACAACAAAATTAAAATTAAATCATAAAACTCTGTTGAAACGTTATTTTAGAGTATGTAAACCATTTTGGACTCTTCCGTCAAACAAAATGGTTGCTGTCCCAGAAAATACAAAGAACAGATCTATTCAGATGAAAAAACAACAACATACAGTCTAGTACAGGGTTTTTCTTTCTTTTTTTGACTCGCTTTTTAAAATTCTTCTGAGGAGAGAGTTGATTGCTTCGAATGAAGTTAATCAAAACATCAGTTAAAAATGGTTGAAACTTAAAACTGGTCAATTGAAACAGAATAGACATGGATCTAAAAATGACTGATTACTCGCTGGAACGGTTTTCAGCAATCGAAAGTATATTTTTTATTGAACTTTGTCAACAACTTAGACTAAATTTATTTATTATTACTTAATTTATTTTCAATTTTACAAAAAACAAATGGTGTGTAATACTTCTCATGCCAAATACTACTTCTTTTTTTGGAATAAATTTATGTAATCCTAAGCATCGTGGCTTGTATTTCACAAGTAATGAAATAGAATTGTTCCCAAAAGAAATCACTTAATACTTAAGTACAAGAAATATACTATTTTTTAAAATTAAACGCAGTTTTAAAATCAGACTTCTAGTGGCAGTTTAGTGCATGATCAGTGATGTCTGCTAAGATTTTGTTCCTAACTTCTTCTTTGCCTGGGTTACTTTTGAATCTATTCAAAGGCAACAAAGATAGGTAAAACAAGTGGCAGTTTGCTATTTTCCTTTCTGTCTGACTCATGAGCTCAAAAGTTGGCAGCTAAAAAAGGAGTGAGGAGCAAGAATTCAGCGTTCATCACTATGCATGATACATGTATAACTGTTTTTACCAACTCATATCACAGAGAGGAAAGGAAAAGAATCTATATCATATCAATGGCTAAACTCTGAGAACACATGTAATTTTATGATTATGAAAATTCTTGTCACATTTATCTTTTTATTGAAAGACTGTTCAACTTAACCTATTTTATATTGTTGTGGTTTTCCTTTTAGTTTGAAGGTGGTGCTAAGTAGATTCCTTTCACTTTTACAAAATAAAGTAAGTGAAACCAGTAGTTTTGAAATATAACAATCGAGATACAAGGCTCTCAGGTTTTTCGATAAGTTCCTTTCTTGAAAAATCGGAAAATGACCAAATACTTTTTTGTTATATTTTAATGCATATCATTGGAAAGTATTAGAAAAAAATCTACCTTTGACCAATTTAAATTGATCTATATTCGTACTAAAGAGTAATGAATACTTAAAGCATTTTCATGGAATGGAAAAATTAGAAAGCTACTAAATTATTTGAATTCCACTTATCTATAAAAGCTACCTATGATATCATAATAAATTATAGATGCATTTATGAACGCTTTCTGATCAAACCATTTTCAGTAATTATTACAAGAAAGAAACAACTTATTCTAAAGAAGTAAATATTTGATTCTACAAAAACAAAATTACTTCATAAAATATAACAACTTGCACGCTCCAAGAACAAAGGTTTTTTTTTTTTTTTTTTTGTGCTTACAAATATATATACATGATTTTTTTCTTCGCTGAGAAAGAATATAACCATAGAGAGATCAAAAGACTCAACCTATAAAATTTTCAATAATAAATTGAACAAAAATATAAATCTTTAAGTTTCATAACTGAAGGCATAAATTTTTACTGTAAAAGAATAATAAATCAACCTAAATTTTACTTAGTGCTTTTCAAAAATGGTAGCTATTCTTACACATGGGAATTGACTTTTATCTCTGCAAAATAAAACACCCAGCCACCCCAGCAGTTCGGAAAAAAAGAAAAGCCATATTTTGAGAGGAAAGCTAAAAAATTTCCTTGAAAGAGTAAAACGTTGAAGAGGGTATACTTTTCCTCCTGTTTCCTATTTTTGGCGCATTATCAAAACTGGCAGCTTAATTTACCCCTTCTAGAAATTAGAAAAGCAGAAAAGGAAATAGCTGGGAACAAACTATTATTTTAAGAAAATAAACGACTTTAGCCTTTTTGGGCAAGATTTTAACTGGAACCAAAGTTCATCCCGCAACTCAAGTGTCCTAAGTGATAATTTAAAATCCTTTTTACAGAGTTTTCAAGGAAGAATCAGTTCTTCCTTAAAAAGAGCAATATTTCCAATTAACTTATTGGGAAGTATGCAACTTTTGATTTGTTTTGCACGGCAATTTCATAATCTTCAAGAATAAACATCCTGAGAAAACAGAATATTTACTGAGGACAAATTGTCCAAGTAATAATACCTTCTTTCACACCAACTAAAAGGGTGTAATTGAAAGGGTTGCGTGTACGGTGAACTTACTTCTAGAAACGACTTATCCGAACACAAGAAACAGTAAAAATGATTTAGACAAAACAACAGGAGAAAAACAGCATCTGAATATTGTTAGAGTTGAGGGAGGAGATAAAAGACATAAAAAGTTTTCTAATTCTGTGATGGGAAAGATACTTTTTTCATGGAGTAAAGAGAACTCACTGCTAAGAAGAGAATTGAGAAATCTCAATGGCAACTCTATTGGTACTTATCAACAATGCGTTTCAATACTACCATCAAATTTCAAGTCAAGTTAGTAAAAATGAGTGATGTGTCTATTCTAGGAAAAAAGTTGTATGTTTTTTCTTCAAGATCTCATGGAAAAAAAAAAAAACGATTCTTAGAACGGTGGGTTTGGAAATCAACTCCTAAACGAAATAATAAAAAGTTTCTTTTACACAGATCAACTGGAAGTTAGATTATACAATTGACATCTCTTGCATTATCGCTAATCAATCAATGTTAAATGGAAACATTATATCTCTGCAAGAAATTGATTTCTGGACTGCCCATTGAGCGATTCGTTTCCTTCATGGAATCTTGAAGAGATAATAAATTAATTCATAGCTTGTCTGTAGGCTTACAGTTGTTCTTACTACAGTATAATTTTTGCAAAAACATGTGTAATACAGTCTTTCTGGTACGGTTCTGAGACAAAAAGTATCAATTATTTTGTTGGATAATTTTTTGGTGAAACAATAGAACTTGTTTTGGTACAATTTTCAAGTTAACTTTTAAAGCATTTTCTCATGGAACTTCATGGCAATACTAGAAAAGAGACATACCTGGAACTGTTGATGATCCTTAAAGGGCTTCTCTTTCAAAATACGAAAGAGAAAAAGGGATAGGTAAACTTTCTACCTACATTCTGCTAACATGATTCAGGGTCATATTCGCTGTTGCTCCTTAAACGACTCCTCTTCTCAGAGGGTCCCACATAGCTTTAATTGTGATTAAGGGAGCTATAAGGAAATCCATGACATTTGATCTTAAAAAGAATAGTTTAAGCAGATCTCAAGTGAAATTCAACAGTATCACTTTGGAAATAGATCCCCGTGTAAGATCATAATGATTTGCCTTTACAAAAAATTAAAAATCCAAGAGAAAAAATGTTGAGATTTTGACCTACTCAAAACTAGTTGCAAATGGAGATTGGAACATTTTGCTGTTATTTTTTCCTAATTCCGCTGTTATTTTTTACAATTTTGATTTTATTTTTGCTGATTTCGACATTGTTTCTGCAGTGCTTCTGCGTTTGACAGCTTATAATAAAGCTTTCAATTTGATTTAACGAGCCATCGCTCAGTATCTCTCTAAACCTATTTCACAGAAGCACTGACACTGTTGCCAATGACGGCCAATGCTCAAAAACAACTCTGTGATTTCTTCATTTTGAAAAAGAGCGCGGCAAACGTCTGACACGCTTACATACGTAAATTTCAAGAAAATTTACAGATTTTGCAGATGTATATGGATGATTTAGCGGTGAATTTCACGGATTTCGAGCTATTTCACATTCAGTCTGGAAAATGGCCGATTTCGCGTTATTTAGCTTCATATTTTCGTTTTCAGGAGGCTACACTCAGAGCTTCTGTCTGCTTTTCAGATTCCTCAGCACATTTTAAAAAATTTGCAGCGAATCGTGGCGGCGAAATGTTTCAATTTCTAGTTGTAAACCAGTCTTAAAATATGCAGAACTCGCAATTTACATTCCTTTGCATTTTTTATGGTGGTATATAATTTTGATCCCTCATGAGCATCCATTTCTAGAGTTATGCTGCTGAATTATATATAGATTTTGTAAAAATGTTTCTTCACATGATGCTATGTTCAAAATGTCCTTAAACGTTTCTTAAGCACAATGTACCCAGACCAGGTGGGGCCTCTGTAAGGAGAGAAGCTGTTTAAGGGGCTACTAAGGATACAGCCCTTAGTTTCATCTTGGTGCACTCCGACAAGCATTTTATGTGTTTACTAGAAGCTCCCAAATTGAAGCAATAGGTGCAGAGAGGGTACTTTTCGGTTGCAGAGTTTCAGAATTTCTCCTGACATTTCATCAATAATTAGGATTAAAGCAAATGCATTCAATTCGTTGAAACTTTTACTGAATATTCTTCATTATTTTGCAAAAATTTTAGAGCATTCACCCGATAGATTCTACTTATAAATATAAAGTCACGACCATTCTGAAACCCTGCAACATAGAAGTGTCCTTTTTGCATCAAATGTCTCAATTATTATGGCCTTCATTTCTGATGACTAGAAATAGTACGACATATTTTGGTGTTCTACAAATCAGTCTTGAGGTTAACATGAAAAGTGATAGGTAGTACACATTTTTCTTTTGTTTTGAATTGATGCATCACAAAATTTCATTCAAAAGTTCCATTTTTAGGGCAGGAGAAGATAGGAAAATCATTATTCGGAAGTTCCTCTTTCGACCTATCAAAAAAAAAATCACTTTTAATACGGGGGAGAGGCTATCCTTCTTTCCAAACATGGGGTCATGTATCTTCACTCAACCCCTTTTAACCCAAGGCCGAAGTCTTGCTGACTACACCGCCATGCTAAGGAAAAATGCCATATGAGCGTTCAAATGTTGCAAATTTCCCTGGATAGAGCTCGAATTTTCAGGAAAATTTCTATGTTTACTTCTGACTTTTTAGAGACTTTTGTTTGTAATTTGGTCTAGAGTGTCTGAAAATTTCAAGGAAAAATATTCGAAACTTTCTTCAAAAATACATATTTTCTGAAAGGAAACTCCCCTACATTTGAATGCTCACACGCCATTTTTCCATAGCACGGCAGTACACTGATTGTTACAAAATAGGTCTTTCACAGATAGAAAATAATTTGCGAGATCAACCACAACCACAATAAAAATTTAAAAAACTATTAAGAGGTTTCTTACTTTAAAAAATGAATATTAACTATGAATCATTAAAACAAATCATACTCCTCCTGTAAAAGAGTGTCCTCATCTCTTTAGATTCGCAGGTTCATTCTGAGGGAGGGTGTTAAGGATTCGTCCGAAGATGATCTACTGACAAACTTTTTCAACCACTGAGAGTGTGCCATTTTAGAAGATGAGGGCTGAGATAATGTTTCATGATTTCTCTTGGTGCGTTTAGCAACAAGTCCTGGAAAACAAAACAAGAAATATTGAGATTTCTGAAGAAAAAGATGATGACTATTATGACACACTTAATTGATGTAATGTTCTTAATATTTAAAAATTATTCAATGATCTTACTTTCCTACAACTCGACTCTGTCTACCAAAAATCAAACAGAATGTAGAATTTTCCTGATTGTATAATGTTTGACTATTTGGAGGAACTTCGTAACTTTATTTATAGTTTCTAGAAAAAAGAGATCCATCTACATTTGAAGCTGTGGGGATGAACCTACATTCTGAGGGGAGGTAACTGACAAGAGGATTGAACTTCACACCAATTGAAGCAGTAGGTGCAAAAAGGGCTTTTCCTGGTTGCAGTGTCTAATAATCCCTGCTAATGTGTCATCCATAATGATCGAAGCAAATATATGTAATTTGTTGAAACTCTCACTGAATATCCTTTCTGACTTTACTATATTCTTAATGAGAAAGTTCAGAAAATACATTTGATAGTTTCCTCTCTAAAATGTATGTAAATTAACAGTGGAAATTCTGAAACCCCACAGCCAAGATATGCCCTTACTGCACTCAATGCCTCAATTTTCCACTCAAGTGTTGCTGCATTTTGAGCTCCAAGTATTTGAAGAATGTCATAATACAATAAAAACAATAAACACAAATTCGTAACAATTCATTCTTTTTACAGAGTGATCATTCAAAAGTGAAAACAGCTATGAGAATAGCAGATAAATATATGAAATAGTAGAGAAAATGTTACCAAAAATTAAGTAATATATCATTGCAGAACTGATCTATCTCATGTAAGGATCCGGTATGAGTCCTTTAGCTCTTATTAAAACTGCTATTCAATGTTCTTAGATCGAAGAGTTTGATTCAATGATCTTCAACTGACAGTAAATTTAGGATGATTTTACCGGGCCAGCAGGGAGTTTAGGATCACAGGACCAAACAATCTAGTGTGCGATAAGGTTTTAGACAGTTGAAATGTGACAGCACTAGGGCATTTTGATCTCCTCATAGTTTTCTCCACCAAGTAATTGCGAAGACTTTTCAGCAACGTAAGTCATCAATTTTGGAGATCTCTCCACAGAAAGGTCATCTTTATATTGTGGCTTAGGAAACTATAATTCTGAGGACTTAATGTAGTGGTTTAGGGAGACAGTGGCAAAAAAGGAATTTTACTTTCAATTTACCTATTACTTTGAGTTAAATAAAACAAAATATGATAGCTAATTTGAAAAATACTTACTTCGAATCATGTACGGTTCAGGACTAGAGGATAACACATTATCACTTGCTTGGCTGTGTTGGCTTAAAACACTTTCTTGATCATCTTCATTTCGAGGTCTCTTTCGTTTCTTTTTGATGTGCTGTCGAACCCTACTCCTCAAGACAGAGTCTGAGTGGCAAATTGCTAACCAGTTATGATTGACGAAAGCTGCTGAATATAAAGACTCTGAGTCCAGAGACCTAGAAAAAATATTTGAAAAAAGAGCAACATGAAACAGAGTTTTGTAGTTTCATCGGTTTATCAGCAATCTTGAGAAACGCCAATTCCTGCTGGCAAGGAGAATGGCACATTAATTGCTTGAAATGCGGCAAATTATGATCCTCTTCCAGGACTGAGCAGCATTCTTTGAAATTGACTGCTTGATATATTCTCTATGCTTTTATGTAAGCTATAGACTCTTTTAACAGTTTGGAAAGGTATAGCAGTAATGCTTGCATTGAAACAAGAGTAAAAATGGCTAAAGTTGAGAAATGCTACCTCCAATTGCGATATTGCATTAATTTTGATCAGGAAAACTTGTATAGAGCTTCTTTTGAAATTTTCTGTGAATTTTTTTCACTCACTCAAGAAATTCATAAAAAATTCCATGCGGACTTTTTGGCTGGTTTTCTTTCAGAGAAGTATAGCAGACTAAAATATCAAACGCTGCAACAGAGATTCCCATCTTACAACTTTAGCCGCCCACATGAGGGAACCTTACTCTGCAATACTAACATATTTTTCAGTTTTAAGAATACAACCTTCAGACTAAATCAAAATCGCAAATTAAAGGTAAAGCACGAGGAAGATCGGTTGAGTGAAAAGAAACGGTTTACATGCACTCATCGTTTGGCTCCGTATTAGGTGCCTGACAGAGTCAATAAGAAGAAGTAAAGCAAAAATACTTCTGCAGTTGAGGGATGGAAAGTGTTACGTGTAATATAACTACCTGAAAATGAGGGTGGCTATTTCTTCGGGCATCTTAGAAATGATGTCAAAGCAGGAGTTATCTAAGAGATCTGACCATTCTTTGGAGAGGTTTAGAACTGAACTTAAGCTGTAAAATGGTTCTTCCATGGTGGGATATAATCACCAATCACTAATGATACATTGAGAAAGAGATCTTTTCGAATGAAAACGTAAATGACACGTTGAAGAAAATCTAGAAGTGTTTAGGATTGCGGATTGCAAAGCGCAAACTGAGCCCGCTCAAAATTTTATAACCTCAAACGTAAACATAAGATGCAGTGGCGTGACGTTGCACCCGTTGCACCGGATTTTAGCGGGAAACAGCAGCAGCGGCTCCAAGCGGCGCGCACGGCTTCGGTCTGGTGCACGCAGCACCCTCAGCGCCAGGCGCCATGGCACGCTTTCTTTCGCCAGGGGCGGTGAAAAGATAGCTGTTCATTCACATATGACAATAATACACGGAGGTACGTCACATGCCTGCTTCGGAATTCCGCCGACATTATTCTCCGATGCATGTGCACTTTGACACCAGTGGTAGTGGGCGAAGACGGAAACACCGTTAATTAATTAAGCGAGAGGTCAGCTCAGTCGTGTTACAGAGCCTTAATTGCAGTNGGGGGGGGGGGGGATATAGAATCAAAGCTAGGTACCAGACGCATCCATGCATCATTATTCCTAGACGAATCGAGCCGGAGCTTGCAACATATAATACTGCTTTTGAAAACTAAAAGTCTAAAAACGATGCATCATTTTCGGGTTCATGAACCATGAGGTTCAAATTTTGAAACAGAGACACTGTGCTCAGTAAGAAAAGTAAAAATGAAGAGATAGGAATACATGTATATTAAAAAGTCACCAGAGATCTAAAGCTGGCTGCAGGAGGTCCCATTCCACAATCATTTTGTTGGCAATGACAATGTTTTGGGACGTCACCGAACAATCTGAGTCCAATTTTGCAAGATTGAACAGAACCAAATTTCATTAAAATTCACTAACTGTGAATGGCTTCTTTTGGCTACCCTCTTGAATCCTGAGTTTTTAGCGGACAAGGTGCAATTATATTTTAATGATATTTTCATTAACCCTTACAATTATATGCTGAAACCCTGTCAAATTGACAGGAGACTTTGTTTAAAAAACGTACGTGCCACGCGAGTTGTGAGGGACCGCGGTACATACGAGCCGTAGATTTAGGTCTGTAAATATTTATACATTAAAAAAATAATCAAACTTCAAAGAAGAAAAAATTGAGGAACAACAGAGTCGAGACGTAATCGGGCCTAGTTTTTAAAATTTTCTCTCATATCTAAGCGACATCTCACTGACAGCATAGAACAGAGCACTGCGAGTTCACGCCTAGTGCCATAGCGCCTTCAATTTTGCAGATGCAACACGGACATCCATCATGTACGAATAGTTGTATCTCTGCGCCGTCATCAACGCGCGTCCCTTTACTTTGCTTTACTTCCACACTTTGTTGTTTCAGTTTGTCTTATTTGTGTTAGAAGCGGTGCTTTAAAGGCTGGATGAGCAACACAGCCGTAAATAGGAGGGTCGTAATAATCGATCCTCGTTTCTTAACTTTGCTGACGACACCTCATTGGCAGCATTAAGCGGAGTTGCGGAACATCGCAATTCACAGCTTGCGCCTTGGCGCCTTCAATTTTGCAGATGCAACACGGACATCTAACAAGCACGAATAGTTGTGTCTCTGCGCCGTCTTTCCCTTTGCTCTATTTCCATATTGTGTTAGTTTCGTTTGTCGCTTTTGTAGTGGTACTTCGAGGGCTATGTGAGCAACACAGCCGAGAATAGGGTGTGCCCAAATCAATTACCATTTTGAAAAGTAAAAAAATGTTAGAGGCCTCTCAAGCGGTCAAAAAGGCGCACGTCTAAAAATTTACTGTACTACCTCTTCTGAGAGAGATACACATGGCGGATGAGGACGGGGGGTGATAAAGCGTTTCTATGTTATCGAAAAAGCGAACAATTCGAAGAAAAGAATTTTTTTCCGATCTTTGAAATGTTATGTATAGGTATTTTGACACTTGAAAAAGGTTAGAGATCTATTTTGATTTCCTCACTTAATGACGCTTATCGTCTTCTTTTCAAAAACTGTACTCGTAAAACATTTTCAATACCTCAAAGCTAATTTTACGATGGAGAGTGATCAGTTTTTTGCGTAATAGCGAAAGCTAAAAGCGTGAAGCGCAATAGCGTAAGTTTGCACTTAATTTAATCGAATGTCTGCTAATGAGTGAAATAATTGTCATTCATGTAAGGATCAGATCGTCTCAGTTGGTGAGTTCTTTGTAGACACGATAATATAAAAGAAGATGATGATGATAAAAGAAAGGAGGAGGAGAGGAAGAAGAAGAAGAAGAAGAAGAAGAAGAAAATAGGAATGACCAAACCTGATGGGCACACACTTGCTTTTCCATGGAAAAATCACCCCTTCGTCGTGGTTAATGATTTTATGACCGTATGTGAAAAATCGAGAATTTTCCCGGATTTTCCTCGGTGAAGTGTGAATTTCTCATTTTTCTGATTAGGAGATCAGCAAAAATAGGGATCCATCGTGGCTACTCCAGCCCCGGGGCCTACGAAAGAATGTGGAGGGCCTAACTCCTAGCTTTTCCCAAGGTATGTTTGGATGTACAATTCATTACACAATAACTGAGGGTTCTTCCATTTTAAATTTAATGTGTGACTTTGGTCAAAATCATATACCAAAATTCGCGAGAATGTATATTGTTTTAAATTATTGAACCCCGAAAACAGTGGTCTGGATGCAAAAAAAGCCGAATTTTTCAGTTAAAAAAATAGTATGATAGGAAGTCTGCGTGCATTGAGAGGATATTATTTCGATCAACATGAATCGAACGGAAATAAAAACGTGAATCGATCTCTATCGACACCGATTCAATGGACATTCAATAAAAAAAACCGATCAGTGGCAAACTTGCATTTACTATAAAATTCTCCAATTGCGATATCTCGAGAATAGGATCAGCCAAGATTTTGATTTTTTCGCGATTATAAGTCTACACGTTTTTGGGTACATTTTCTCGCATTTGTTTGGCTTCAAGACCACTGTGCGAAAAACACCTGCTGACGACGATTCTCCAATTAGTTGCCCTGTTAAAAAATACAGTACGGTTCATACTTCGGCGCATAGGAAGCTGGGATTCTAGGAATTCACTCTTCCGAGGATTCTGCCGTACTGAGGATAAATGCCTTGAGTCCCCAGAGTGTGCCAAACTTATTTTTTGACAAATCACCAATTTTTAGGCGATTTGTGATTGCTCTTCAAAAATTTCAGAGAACTTTTAGTTATTTGATCTTAAGTGCCCAGGGTCGGACTGGCTCGCATCCGAGGGCGTAGACCCTTGGCTGGTTGAAGCAGGGGCGGAATGTGATATTTCCTGGTAGAGCATCCCCTACGTGGAGAGGGGGTTCAGAAAAGTTTGGCAAAGCAGCACAAGTTTAAGCTATTTTCAGGTTCAAAGTTTATTAATCATACAGAGTAAAAATTACAAAATTGAACGTATGGAAGTAACCGACAGACTTCTGAAATTAAAGAAAACATAAAAAATTAAAGCCACTAAACGTATCCAAGCACCATTATTTCCAAGAGAACCGAGCCAGTGCTATGGTTTACACGAGCTTAAGAAGTGGGTCTGCAAATTCATCCTAAAAAAGAATCAGACAAGAACCTGAAAAAGAGAAGAGAGAACGAGTATCAACACAGCCGGAGACAGAAAAGACGTATTCGGGCCTCTTTTTTAACTTCTCTCCCGAATCGGAGCGACACCTCATTGGCAGCATATAGCAGAGCATTGAGAGCTCACGCTTCGCGTCATCGCGCCTTCAGTTTTTCAGATGCAGCACGGACGTCCATCAAGTACGAATAGTTGTATCTCTGCGCCGTCGTTAACACGCATCCATTCCCTCGCTTTACTTTATTTCCATATTATGTTTGTTTGCTTTTGCCTTATTCGTGATGGTGCTTCAAGCTAGTAGCATTGAGCAGAGCATTGCGAGTTCACGACTCACGCCACCACGTCTTACATTTTTTATATGCAATGTGAACATCCATCTTGCGCGAATAGTTGTATCGCGTTTACATTGTAGATGTCTCTTATTTTTGAATATCGAGATAAAGTATAAGGTTAAGTTTGCCTGAGATATGTTATGTTATGTCCAAATCAATAGTCCTTTTGAAAAGGAAGACATATGTTTAAAGGTCTCTCAAGAGGTCTATAAAGGGTGCGTACGTCGAAAAATCGGATCGACTATTGCGTCTCAGGGAGTTACAAAAAGCGAATGAAGGAGGGGGATGATAAAGCGCTTGTATATCAATAAAAAGGTAAAAATTTCAGAGAAAATTTTTCACGCTTCAGAATGTAATTCTTAGACCTCTGTTCACCACTATCATGCGTAAAAGGACCTTTCTTTACTCCTAACACTCTCCTCTTCCGTTCATTTATGAAATTTTCCGTATAATAGTCTCGGTTGTAATTTTTTTCTCTTCTTATTTCGCTATATGTCAGAGGGGCGCTTTTCCGGCGCGCCAATGGCAGATTGGCCTTATGGCCAGTCCGAGCCTGAAAGGATCTGAAAATTCAAATGAAAAACACTGATAACTTTTCTGAAAAATACACATTTTCTGAGAGTGAATTTGGGAAATTCGAAACAATGCAATTCGAACTCTATGCGAAGGACGACGACGGTCCTAAGGAAGTGGGCGCGGGAATCCGGGATCGGCAGTTTAAAAGAAACGTTGCAAGTCCAGCGAGCTCATCATCGCAATTGGACGTATTTATGCTAAAAGAAACTAAGTCACACGCAATCCCTATGCACATAATTCCTTTTAGCATAAATACGTCCAATTGATGGGCAAAGCTGTTTCTTTAAAGATTTGCAGTGAGAAAATGCGTGTCGATACGCTTAAAAAGTTGCTTCTGGCAATCTAATGACCACGGCAGACGCAGGCGTGCGCGTGCGTAACTGCAGAAAGGCGGAACAGCATCAGTATCCAGTTTTTGACGTGTAACTTAAATTGCAGCATTGCTATTTGAAGGCGCATCTAGGGAACATGCTTGCGCATCACTGCATTGACTGGATTCATAAGTTCTTCGTTGGGAAATCGAGTTGCATTAAGTGGTAGGGGCAATTGCCTCTATCCAAAAAAAATAAAGTCATCTAAAATTTGAGAAAATATTGAGAATTATTAGATAATCCTCAAAATAATCGAAAT